GTTGGCTGATGCTGTAAAGACAATTTTCTTTTGTTTTTATCCACATCATCTATCAAATGATTATTACTTCTAGAAGCCTTAGATTATCATTAGCTATGCAAGAGTTCTGTTCGATTTATTTTTCAAAGGATAAAAAGTGCTTTTTTTTGTAACTTATCATTATTACTACTACACTGAAATAAAAAAATAAAAAAAACTGAGAATGGACTGAACATCTATCTGTACAAAGACGTCTGTCCAATGTCTGTTTGCCAACCGTGTGCAGCCTTTCCCTGTCAAATATGTGGAAGATGGCTGTCCTCTTCCTCTGGTTCCGACTTGTACTGGTGTGCGTTTCTGTGTGTTCTGTGTTGTGAACTATTGACGACAGCAAGGAAGGTGTGCAGTGTCTTGGCCCCGTTTTCAGAAGCCAGTGAAATTTAGTTCACTGCTGCTTCTTCCGGGAGAATGTTTAAACAGAGGGGAGGGGTGGGAGAAGGAGTCTCTCAGCTTGAATGCACGGAAAGGGTTGTGTTGCGGTCCTCAGTGCTTCCTGCAGGAAATGAATTCCTTCAAGGGAAGGTCTTCCTTGCTTTTAGCAGGGATCTGCACCTCGATTTCTAAGCCAAGTGATCTCGATCTGGTAGACCGTTTTCTGAAGCTCCTCCGGGCTACATTTCTGGTGGAAGAGGTTTAATTGCTCCACCTCCTGTCTCTTCACCCTGAACCCCCTTCAACAGGTGGGGCGCAGACGTAGACCCTTGGAAGCTTGCGCCCCATTTCCCTTTTTTTAACTATAATCCAACACCCAGAAATGTGTACCGGTTTTGAAGCAAGTCTTCCCAGTTTGTGGTTTTCTCTCTGCTGCCCTAGAATCAACCCCAAACTTGATAGAAATGTCATGTCAGGCTTCCTGGTCTATACTGGTAAATACCCAGGTTACCTGTAGAGGGAACTAAGGTCCCTGCACACCTCTCTGGGGTTTGACAGAATGGCAAAATGTCTTTTCTGTATTCCATTTCCATATGCAGTAGGTAAGTACACTGGTGAGACGTGCAATGTGTCTGGCCTATGGTAAGCATGCCGAAAAGGTCATGTGATGCATCTGATTGAGCGCATACAGGCTACAACTGTGTTACATGCCTGGAGATGAATTCAGTGACCTCCTTTCTGGGTCTCGCATTGCATTTTGGGCATGCCTTTTTGTTTCTCGTTGTTTGTTTTCGTGTTGTTGCTTTTTTTAAAAAAGTAAACAATGTCATTGGCATTTCATTTTTATCAGTTTCGGTTCAATGTGGTAGCGCTGCTGTTGAAAAGCTTTCTTTTTTTTTTTTACATTAAAAAGTTCCAATGTTGTGTTTCTTGTTGACTTTATTTTGGGGGGGGCGGGTACCTCCACGGAGAAGCACGGTGTCCACTCCAGACCTGTTGCGCGGGGCAGTCCACTGCCTCGCTGGAGATCGGCGTTTCTCACACTAGTTCTTCCACGCGTGAAGTACAACCACAGCCAATTAACCACTTTACAAAGTTACACACTGGGGAAAAAAAAGCATTAGAACATTCCACAATATTTACATATAATCTTTGACATTAATTAACAGACACGTACACTGCTGCCTTTGTAAACATCTTTAGAATTGTAATTGTAGTAGTACCGAGAACTACGAATTACAATTA